TCTGTTACGTCCCAAAGTGCTCTGTTGGACTGAGATCTAGTGACTCTTGGGGCCATTTGAGTGCAGTGAATCCATTGTCGTGTTCAAGAAACCAGTCTGAGATCATGCTGGAAGCAGCGATTAAGATGGGCAGATCATAAAAGGCTGTACATGGTCATTTCTGCCCTATAAATGACGCTTAGTTATTACTTATTACTTATTACTTACTTATTAAAGGGGCCAAAATGTTCAAAGAAAGTATCGTCCACACCATTATACCAGTTTGACCAGTTGATACAAAGCAGGATGGAGATGGAGTGTGAATATTGTTTACACCATATTCAGACTCTACCATCTAAATGTCTCAGCAGAAATGAAGACCCATCAAACCGGGCAAAGTTTTTTCCCAGTCCTAGCTTTTTTCCAAAAGCTAGGACTGGGCCATGCTTGACACTAGGTGGCAACAGCAGTCTGTAAATGTGTGGAAACTGCAGTTACTGAACTTTTGGGAGTGTTGTTGATCCTATATCTTGGGGGGGGGATTTTTTGTCTGTCTTTCAGCAGGTGTTGCGTATCGGTTCTTTGACACTGAAACACAGCAGATCCATCCACCACAGTTCCATATGCCGGACTCCACTCATACCCATTGTGGTGGAGCAGACGGTGAGTGTGATCATTTGAACGGCTGAAGCAGGACTTTCTGTGTTTAGTAGAAGTGTATATACAGTCAGTATAGAGGTGTATATACAATATAAATACATGATTGTTTCTTTTCTCCTGCAAAATGTTGCACAAAAAGAATTTAAACAGGTGTGAATCATGAAGATTTAGGATGAGAGAATTTTTGTTTGCTTGGCAAAGCAAAGACAGACATCTGTATAAGTGGCTTTATTCCTGCTAATATCGATGTAAAAACACGTGTTGCTGCAGCATATTTGTGAACCTTCTATATGTATTTGAGATACTGTGCTGTCCAGACCTGTAATCCACAGAGAACAGCTTTGTCATTTGATTTAAAATCCTCTCCTTTTGTTTCGTTTTTTGTTTGTTTTGTTTCAGGGGAGAGGAGAACGAGCATATGACATCTACTCTCGCCTCCTGAGAGAGAGAATTATATGTGTAATGGGTCCTGTAAGTGTCCTCCTGAAGATTTTTGGAAACATGTTTTCAGAGTGATTTATATTCAGGCTCTTTCTCTTCCCCATCTGCTCAGATCGATGACTCCATAGCCAGTCTGGTTATAGCCCAGCTGCTCTTCCTACAGTCAGAAAGCAACAACAAGCCCATCCACATGTACATCAACAGTCCTGGTATGACATAATCAAAACGAAGAGTTCCAATCTGAGTATTTCGCTGTGAGGTTTATTGATAAACTTTATGAAAAGAAGGATGAAGGAATGAGACATTTCACCGTCATGAAAATGAAACAGCAGAGAACTTGTTAGAGCACTACTTTTCCATCTCTGATCCACGGAGAACGGCTGAGCTGCATCAGTGTTACAGTAAACCACTGCTGACTGTGAGAGTACTCACACTAACTATCAATATTGTCGTATATTTGTGTCATTGTGCTAAGGCTCACTCAGCACCTACAAGAATTTGTATTTTGATTAAAATTCTTTTGCCAAAAAGTAGTGCAGTTAAAACCTTTAAAATTAACTATTATTTTTTATTGCTTATTCAAAAATATTGATGTTTTTAATCGCAGTATTTATAAAGTAACAGTTTCTTGATTTGTAGTAACTGAAGCAAACCCAGCTGGTTCGCTGGGACTTTCACAGGCTGCTGTCATTTTGTTTGTGACTGAAGCCTGTCTGTGTTTGTGGCCATGCGTCAGCTTTGGTCATTGCATGTGTGCTTATGGTACAGTTTGTATTAAGTGCTGTAACACTGTTTGTGGGTGTGATGGTTGCACTAGCGTTGCATTGAAGTTAAAATGGACCTGCTATATTCATTGTCAGCTCCATGTTTTACTTTTGGACTCTGTTAGAGTAGCTTTGCATGATTCACAATACAAAGTAATCTTGATTTATCTTATACTGGGCTTTGGTGCAGCCAGTTTGTCCATCAACAGTCAAAGAAGCAGTTCTAGCCCCGCCCCTTTAAGCCAGCTTTCTTCTGATTGGCTGCCAAATAAAAAGTTTGAACAGCAGATGGGCAGAGCTTCCTTTTAGCCCCTGTCTTTGACAGCATGCATTCACGGCAATGGAGCTCAAAGGGATTACTATACATAAGGTGGCCTGATTTTTTTATTTTTTTTTTATTTGTCTTTTTTAACGTTATCCATTTTTAAAATGAGCATAAATTGCTTTTATTGTGATGGAACTTGAGGAAAAGCACAATACACCCACTTCAGTATATTCCAAATATGGACATATAAGAGCAGCAGCAGATGATCTTGTGTTGTTGGTATCACGCAGTCCAAATACTTTGTGATCTGAATCTCACAGATGAAATGTTATGCCTGACATAATCTGTTGAATGCAGTGTATTTAAGTAAATGAGTAAATTCATGCAAAGACAGCTCTCATTCTGTCTCTTTTTAAGGTGGTGTGGTGACAGCAGGACTGGCCATTTATGACACTATGCAGTACATTCTGAATCCCATCTCCACCTGGTGTGTTGGCCAAGCGGCAAGCATGGGCAGCTTGCTCCTGGCAGCAGGAACGACAGGCATGAGGCATTCACTGCCCAATGCCCGCATCATGGTTCACCAGCCTTCAGGAGGGGCCAGAGTAAGTTAGTCTCTCTGTGAGTACTGGTCAGTTGGTGTAAAGAAGGGAATAACATTCAGTGTGCTGTGTGTCCAGGGTCAGGCCACTGACATTGCTATCCAGGCTGAAGAGATCCTGAAGCTGAAAAGACAGATCAACAACATCTACGCCAAACACACAGGCCAGTTGCTGGAGACCATTGGTACGTTTGTGTTTGCCATTACCACAACACAGTACAAACTTAAAAGTAGGACAAAAGCAGCACAATGATTTCCCCCCTTTGCATGTTTCCTGGTGACAAAAAACTTGGATTTCAGACAAAGAAGGCTAATCCAGGCCTGGAGTACATGTCTCAAGTTTGTGGCAATGTGTGACATGCAAATAACCAACCGTATATTATATATGGACGAGGGTGGCCATAATGTTTTATTCTGAAGAGTGTAGGACTTGCAGGTGTGATGAACATTAATATTTGAAATTCAGAGGTGTTGGACATCATCTCAAAGAAACTGATTTTCATGTGTATAAGGAGAGGAGGGAAGTTAGTTTAAAACGTTTAAACTATAAAACGCTCATTTCTGTCCGACTTACAGAAAGTGTGATGGAAAGGGATCGCTACATGAGTCCCATGGAAGCACAGGACTTTGGCCTCATCGACCGGGTCTTGGTCCACCCACCACAGGCAGGGCAGGATGAGCCAGAGCTGGTGCAGAAAGAGCCAGCGGCGGCAGCAGCAGCAGCAAGCCCCTCGCCCCAGCCAGAGTCCACAGATCCTGAGAAGGCCTCCCCTGGGACAAATCCACCCTCCTCATACAAACCAGAGCCATGAACGCACCACAGCAGAGCTGTCTGCTAGCTACAAGATCATCTTCAGGAGTCAAGAGAGCAAGATCCAGCCTCCCCGTGTTTCTCCTCCACTCAGTAGTAGCTTACACATGAGCAGGACCCAAGCCAGCCTCATGTACAGTCATCACAGTAACGTCTTTTTATGATGGTGCTGTCCTTTTTTCTTTTTTACGTAATTTCTGTGAAAGAAATCTTCAAAGAAGTGATATTAAAACGTAGTTGGTTTTTATAATTTATACCACAGGAAGGAAAGCAGTGTTTCCTCTGGGTGGGCTTTGGTCCTTTCTCTCTGATGGCTGAGCTGTACTGTACATGAGCTTGTTTAGGGGGAAAGCTTATTAAGAGTACAGAGCCATCTTTTTCTCTCTCCTGGCTGATGTCCACTCGAGACCGGAAAAAACCTGATTTGATGACCTGATGCTTAATATTTGTAATAAATATGATCAGTTAATCATGACTCACAAAATGTGCTACTTCTTGATCCAGTAGTGCACTGTTAAGTTTTCAGCTGGAGGTTAAAGGCTGTGTTTGAAACTGTATTTCTATTTTTTATTAATTTTCTCACACCATGAAGCAAAGTTACATTATTCACATTACTTCACAAAAAAACAATGACAGAAACCATCTGGCTAAAACTGTAAAGTTGTTAAAACGGCAACACTGTAACAAAATTACACATAACTATGCAGCACAGGAACAGGAAGACGGACACCGTTGGCATTTAAGATGCGCAGCCATTTAACGCCACAGCATGTCGTCTATAACAACTGCAGATGTAAACTTACCACACAGTATCATCTTTGTATTTCCATTAAGAAGTTAGAGAAAAATTAATGTGTGCACAATAACACAACCAACCTCTAAATAAAAAAAATCTTCTACATGAATAGTACAAGTTTTATCAGTTGATAGGTCAAAAAGGCAATTTTAGGAAGCATAAGAAAATATAGTGTAAAAATTACTCCTATTATCATAATTATGCTTAACATGTAACACCAAGTGTGTCATATTTGATAGATGAGCTTTTATGAGATGTCAGTGTACTTTTGGTTTCCCAACCAAAAAAGTAAATAAATAGGACAATGCATTTTTAAGCAATGAGTTGCACAAGTGTAGCAAAGATGTAGAAAGACTGATACAAATTAAAACATGCTATGAGACATTTCACCGTCATGAAAATGAAACCAGCATATGCTAACAAATGCTAATTAGTATTTGTTTTTAATGTCAGAAGATTGAATAAACAATTAATAACAAAATATATAATTTCCTGGTAAATATAATATGGTTTCGACTTACAGGAGAAAGATACTCATGAGCATTATTGGTTTAAAGTTGCTAAAATTCCTTTTATAGCTGCATTACTAACACAGTTTGAAGTCGGCACCTTGTTAATTAAGCTAGTTAACGTTAGCTAAACGTTGCACCGCTAAACGTGATAGCTTCTGGCTACAAAAAGATCAACATGCTAACATTTTAGGCAGGCAATTAACAGGAGGCACCATTGTCTCAATCACTACTTGTAAGTCTTACTGAAGATGATATTCACTTTAATAATGTTCCCTATTTGAAGAGTATTATTAGATATGCTCATTGTCAATGCAATGATATTAGTCAGTGTATAGTATTACAATTCCGATACATTTCTAACATACCAACACTCAGCAAACATCATTTTGAACAAAAATAAGTCACTTTTATAAAACATTCAGAAAAAGCTCTATCAAATAAACATAGCCAACACCGATTTGGTCACCGATTTCTCCCTTCATAATATAAAGATTATGATAGACAATAATTTTACTTTTTTTTTTACTTTTTCTTCTTCTTTTTTTTAAGGCTGTTCGACACAGTTTTTTAAAGCATTAACCTGACATTTCAGATGTTTTTCAAAACTGTTAGAAAAGCAGGAACTTTTCAAAAAGTACTTGGCACATGACTTCAAGAACCTCAGTCTGGTACAGTCTAACAGGCCAAGTTAAACCACAGGATTAATACAGCACAGTTTGTAGAGGTAGGACAACAAAGAGGGGAAAAAAGGCAACAGGAAGCATCTTTGATTACTCGCTTTTAAAGCTAGTAAGTCAGTAATGCAGGTAACATTTCAGCAGATAGTTTGTGCAGAAAATGAGCACTTTGGGAAAAGCTCTTTCAAAAGGAAATAATCATATGTTTATCATGTGCATCATCACTCCTAATGCCCGATACTGCCACAGGTATAATAATCCAGTAGGTAAATAAAACATCGTCTTTGTTGGGTAACAAAATAAATTCAAAAGAGCTATTTCTTTTTCTGCTTCAACACTAAAATGATTTATTTAAATGCAACTTTATTCATTTTTTGAATGACCCTTGACAACATGCAGCGCTCAGTCCAGATGGGGGATCTGTAAAAATAACAGAAATATTATGAGCATAACAGAGTCATGAACCTTAATAAGAAACTTGTCTATTTAGAGCCAACAGCATAAAAGTAAGTAAAATGACATAATTTTTGTTATTTACATCCAACTGCATCTTAGCAGACCGGTGGATGCAGAAAATATAATCGAGGCTCGAGCGACTCCTTCATGGATAAGTCAAACCACAATGAATTTTAATGTTATTCTAAATAACTAAGACACTCAAAGCAACTTCTTAAACATCTATACTGTTATTAAGTAAGATATGAATGCCTTAACATCTAAATAAACTTAATTACTAAGGCTTATTACAAAAACCTTGATGTGAACCATTACTCATGTCTCGCTCTCACTCACACTCTTCTTGCCGGTCATCACATGATTGAGCAGCTCTTGGGTGAGGTGGTCCAGCGCAGCCAGCTCAACTTTTCATCGCTATACGGTGGGTAGCGCAGGGCGTTAAGTCTTTCCAAAGCCCAACCACGCAGCATGACTGCTCGCCGGTGACTGAACGCCTCAAAGCCCCAGTGACCATGGTAGTGACCAAATCCACTGTTTCCTGGATGGAAGAGTGAACACTGGTTACGCATATGAATGCATCTCTTACATCTCTTTCTCAGCAGGCCAGCCTGACACATACCTACACCTCCAAAGGGCAGGCCTGGCAGGGTCATGTGCACAATTCCATCATTAGAGCAGAATCCTCCACTGCTTGAATTTTCCAGCACCTTCTTCACAACCTTAAAGAAATAATGACAATATTAGCTAAAAGACTAAATGTTATAAATGTTACAGCAGAAAGTGGAGGCTGCAGAGTTCTGTGTTCTTACAGAGGATTCATCTGAGAAAACATAGAAGGCCAGAGGCTTCTCTTTTCTTTTGGCTAATTTGATGCTTTCCTCCAGAGACTCAATCGTGAGGATCGGCAGGATGGGGCCAAAGATCTCCTCCTCCATTAGAGCATCATCTTCAGCTACATCCACCACTACTGTGGGAGCTGTGGAAAGATGAGGACAAAATATTCTTTCATATATGCATTTTTTCAGTCAAGGAAATTCAGACTCAAGCTACTTTATAGAAAAGTGTGACAAAAAAAGGATGCAAGGAATGAGGTGAGATGGAGGCAGTGATGACCTGTAAAGGATGCAGTCGAAAGAAGAACAACATAATGATCTCACTGACAAAAATAATGAAGTGTGTTACCCATGTAACCTGGTTTCTGTTAGTAACTTGGGTACTAAAATACACATGAATCCATTTGTTTGGTTTTTGTTTGCCCATTTCACTCAGATTTTACTAACATTTTTATATGTAGTTAATGTTTGAGTCTTTACTAAGCTAACGACAATGCAATTTAAAAATAATCTTGTTTTATTGCCCAACTCTGCTCTGATCTGCTGGTTGTTGTTTGTTCCATGTTACCAGCAGGAAAGTTGTAGAACGCCCTCTTGTGGAATTAATGAGAATACATTTCCTAGCTACCAGCAATAGTTTGTCACATAATTTGCGCTGCAAGTGATTCAACGTTACTTCTTTTGAGGGTAGGCCAAGAAAAAAATACCCAGGGTCCCTTTGAATCAGATTGTTAAAAATATTACTTAGTTCTTGAGATATGAAGCTCCAAAATCTTTTGATTAATTTACATTCCCAAAAGTAATGAAAAAAAGTGCCAGTTTCTTTTTGACATTTACTACAAAAATGGGAAATATGAGGTGCAATCTTATCCAAGACATTAGGAGCTATATAAAGGCAATGTATGATTTTGTATGGGGTTTCTCGCAAGCGGTTGCAAGTAAAAGTGGAACTACCCATGTTGATGGCTCCTTTCCACTCCTCTTCGGTATATTGATTATTAAGATCTCTCTCCCATTTATGAATAGCGCTCAATGTGTTGCTACTGAGAGTATATAGGAGAGAATAAAAAGCTGAGATAAAATGAGTTCTGTCTTTTCGCTTAATAAGAAATGTCTCAATATCATCATATATAACTATTTCTGAAGACTGTGGAATTTTAGAATGAACAAAGTTACAAACCTGGAGAAAGCCAAAAAAGTGTTCTCTAGGAATATTAAAATTTGACTGCAATTGCTCAAAGTTCATCAGTGTGTTGTTTTGATACAAATCGCCAATTACCCTTAATCCCTTTTTGTGCCACTTATCGAACATACTGCGAGACATTCCTGGAACAAAATCTTTGTTTCTCAGAAAAGGAGTCAAGAATGAAGTGCAATCTTCTCTACCCAACCTTTTACACATTTCCCCCCAGACCCTTATTGTATTATAAATGATTGGGTTATTCTTAATCCCCATTTGTAATATTGTTATTTTGTCACAGACAGCTAAGCTCCAAAGGGAATAAGGTAAAGTAGACCAAGAGTCTAGGTGAGAGTGAGAATTTAGATAAGCATGTAGCCACTCCCATAAGACACGGCTATGACATGCCCAATTATAAAAAAAAATAAATTTGGTAAGCCTAAGCCTCCCCTATCTATAGGCAGTTGTAAAGTTCCAATCCTTAATCTAGGTTTCTTGCCACGCCAGATAAATTTTGAAAAAGCTTTTTCTATATCACAAGAAACTTTCTGGGTGATCAGTAAAGGTAGCATTCGTAGGGGATAATAAACGCGGGAGAATACTCATTTTGATTAAGTTCACACGCCCCATAAGAGAAAGCGGCAATTTTTGCCATCTATCTAAATCTTTTTTGATTTTTATTATAACTGGTGATAAGTTCAGTTTCCATAAGTCTTTAAGAACTGGTGGAATGTTTAGCCCAAGGTATGTAAAGCCACTGGGGGACCATTGAAAGGGATTAGAAATATCTGGCAAAGAGTTCATCTGATCACCCAGCAGCATGACTTCTGATTTCCCAAAATTAATTCTGTAACCAGAGAATGAGCTGAACTCATGTATAGTGGACATAATGGCTGGTATTGATTGTTCTGGTTTTGATAAGAACAGCAGAATATCGTCAGCATACAATGCTATCTTATGATTTGTTCCACCCACTGTTATACCATGCACATCTTGATGCTGGCGAATGGCCTCAGCTAGAGGTTCAAGTGCTAATGCAAAGAGGAGAGGGGACAGGGGACAGCCTTGCCTCGTACCTCTTTGCAGTGGAAACGCTGATGATTGTACACCATTAGTTATGACACAAGCTTCTGGAAGTTTGTAGATAGTTTTAATCCATGCAATAAAACCCTCGCCTAAGCCAAATCTTTCTAATACATTAAATAAATACGTCCACTCGATGCCACCTTTGCAACAAGTCCACTCGTGAAATTTCCTCACTATTAAAAATATTCCACAGTCAGCTGTTTAGGATTAGGATTAGGATCGACAGTAAGTCGGCCACAAAGTGGTAGGCCATATAAAATAACAACTGAGGTGCATAGTGCACAGAGGTCACCACGTTTCTGCAGAGTCAACCGTTACAGAGCCCCAAACTTCATGTGGTGTTCACCACCCTACCACTGGACTGTAACACAGTGGAGATTTGTTCTCTGGAGAGACCAATCACACTTCTCTGTCGCTAGAATGGTACTGGTCTGATTGCACTGTGCCAAGTGTAAAGTTTGGTGGAGGGGGAATTATGGTGTAGTGTTTTTAAGAAGTTGGATTCAGTCCCTTAGTTCTAGTGAAAGGAACTCTTAACGCTTCAGCAGAGCAAGATATTTTGAACAATTTCACACTCCCAATTTTGTGGGAACAGTTTTGGGATGGCCCCTTCCTGTTACAACATCACTAACAGTGCACAAAGCAATTTCCATAAAGATATGGATGAGTCAGTTTGGTGTCTAAGAACTGCCAGAGTCCTGACCTCAACCCAAAAGAACACCTTTGAGAAGAATTATGTAGAGCAGAGACTGCGAGTCAGGCCTTCTCACGCAACATCAGTCTCTGACCTCACAAATGTGCTTCTGAGAGAATGGTCCAAAATTCCCAGAAACACACTGCTAAACTTGTGGAAGTTAGATCTGAAAAGGTTAGGCTGATGTCATTTTCAACCATCCATCCATTCACGGAAGGCATTTTCAGCCATATGGATTGAAATTGGGATGTCACTCAAGTTCATACGCATGTGAAAACAGACAAGCAAATACTTCTGGAAATATAGTACAGGTCTCAAAGCTGAAAGGCAATTTCTTTTTCTAGTTAAAAGCGGTGCAATGCTAACTCTGGGCTGGGAGAGCGACTTTTTCACAACAAGAATTTTACATGTGAAACTGATGAATAAACTTTCCCTACATCAATGGTCAAGCAGACTGTTAATTTCCTCTTTTTGTTTTTCCTTGAAACATTAAGTAAAAGTGTGATCTAAACACAGATCAGCCACAACAATGAACAAAAACTAGGAAAAAGTAATGTTCTGTGGAGAAATCCTGGGTCCTGACATTGATGTTTATTTAGTTTGACTTGTACCACCTACCTAAACATTTTTGTAGACCCAACACACCTTGCCATGGTAATGGCACTCCCCAATGGCAGCAGTCTCCCCTAGTAGGACAATGTGTCCCATCACACCAGAAAAACTGTTCAAGACCGGTTCAACATGACAAAGAATTTAAGTGTTGACATGGCCTCCTCACTTTCCAGATCTGAATCCAACTGTGCACCAATGGGAAAGACTGGAACAACAGGCCCTACCCTGCAACCGCCAGGACCCAAGGGACTGGCTACCAATGTCCCGATACCAGACAGAGATTACTTGTCCACGCCACAACGGGTCAGAGCTGGTGGAAAGAGAGGACCTACACAATATTAGGCAGGTATTCTTAATGTTGTGGCCAACTGGTGTAACATTTTTTGCATTGTTTATTTAAAAGTAAATGTATACCAGCTAATATACGGTCTTATACCAAACACCAAATCCTCCTTAAAATACTTTTTAACCCACCTATGTACCTATCCTTCTCGTCATGCTCTCCTCCCACAACGACCTTGCCCTTGGTCCTGTTGAGCAGTCCCATCAGACGAGTCCAGTGTTTAGGTGTTACAATGCGTGACATATCGGGGCTCTTCTGAATGTCACTGCCGTAGAAGTCCTCCAGGACCTGGCGCAACGCAGGCACAAGGGCATCACAAGTGGCTTTCGAGCACAGAACGTAATCCGGTGCCACACAGCTCTGGCCAGCATTGAAAAACTTGGACCACACCAAGCGGTGAGCAGCAGCAGTGGCATTCACCCGACCATATATTAAGCAGGGGCACTTGCCTCCCAGCTCCAAGGTCACTGGGGTCAAGTGGACTGCAGCAGCCTGGAGGACAACGCGTGCCACAGCCTGGGAACCTAACAAAGACGGGTGAAGACTCAGTTCCCAGAACAGAAAAGGATAATCTACATTTCAGTGTTACTAAGCCAACCAGGGAAAAGAGGAGAGAATTGTGTGTCACTTTACTATTGACATGCTGTATTAGACAGTTCATAATTAACTCATAATCATCTAAACAGTACAGTGAAGCTTTGGGTTTTGGCTATGTAAAATTCCTGACATTTGATGCATACCTGTGTGCTCTGAGGTTTTTACCTGTGTAGAAAATGTGGTCAAATCGATTCGTCAGAAGGGCTTGGGTCTCCTTTGCTCCACCGCTAACAACTGCATAACAGTCCTGTCAACAGTCATATCGTCACTGTCACATTCACTGTGCCCATCTCTATTCATAACAATTGTGAAAAGCTCATTTGTCTGTTACATCTGGTTGATATTATCAGTTATTTCACCTTAGACAGATATTTGGGGATGAGCTCCATTATCAGATTGTCTGTGGCGGCGCTGACTTCGGAGGGCTTGATGACCGCACAGTTTCCTAATCAAAGACATCAACAACAGGCAGCATGTAAAGGCACGTGAAGTCACAGCAGTTACATTTTCATGTTTATAAAATCATTCAAGGTGGACTCTAGGACGCGTTGCCATATTTGCAAATTCTGTCAGCTCACTT